AATGGTCGACGATGTTGACGAATCAAGCTTATCGGTGGAAATTGCTGTTGATGGCAAAAGCCCTCTAGTACGCTTTTATCTGAGCAAAGAAGCATTTCGGCTGGACATTCACCACGCGCTCTTCGACGAATGGTCTTTGGATCTCCTTCTGGAGCAGGTTGAAAAGGCGTATGCTGGACAATCTCTGCCTTACCAACCCTTTTCACCATTTGTGCAAAGCCTCCTTACTCAGGAGCAAAATATCTCCACTGAGGAGTTTTGGAGGGAATGTTTTGCCGGCCTACAAACTGAACGCTTTCCTACCGGCAGCAGCATTACGTCCTCCACCGCCGAGAAAGTCATTCTCGAACACACCCTCTCTCTCGACCCGACCATGGCGAGTGCCCACTCTAAATACACACTCTCCACCACTCTTCGTTTAGCGTGGGGTATCATACTCTCAAATCAGACTGATTCTCCGGATGTGGTCTTCGGCGCAACAGTTACGGGTCGGAATGCGGACAATCTCGAACTCACAGGACCCACGCTTGCTACGTTGCCTGTTCGTATCAAGGTTCCAGGGGACCAAGCCATCCACATGGCGCTAGAGGAAGCGCAAAACGGCTTCGCCAATATGATGGCACATCAACAAACGGGCCTGCCGCGGATTCGAGCAGTGAGTAGCGAGGCGGCTGACGCGTGTGGATTTCAAAACCTCCTGGTTGTCCAGCAACAGTCGGCAAAGATGGACAATCAACAATGCTCACGCAGCAGGATCTTCGAAACTTCGGCAAGCATAGGGGGCTCAAAGTCGCCTGACAACGCCAAGGCATTCGCAAGTTATCCGCTTGTCCTCACTTGCCGCCCCTCACAGCACTCCATCGCCTTCACCGCCGCCGTGGATCCTACCTTGTTGGATACGGACACCACACGCGGCATACTGAGACAGATGGCGCACGTTGTGCAACAAATTCTGACCTCGACTTCCTCCTGTTCCTCCTCCATGGCACATGATTTACGAATCAAAGACATCGATCTCATGCCACGGCAGGATGTGGAAAGGTTGAGCAAATGGAATGGCATTCTACCAACGGGGGTCGAGTCGCCCATCCACCACACCATCCGCAAGAATTCCGGTTCGCAGCCGGAGAAGGTTGCGGTCCATTCTCATGGTTTAAATCTGAGCTATGAACAAGTAGAGCGCTACTCGAACTTGCTCTCGCAGCATTTGTACGCCGCGGGTGTGAACAAGGGGGACTTTGTGCCGTTGTTACTGGAACGCTCTCCATGGGCGCCGGTCCTGATGCTGGCCGTCCTCAAACTCGGCGCAGCCTTTGCCCTACTTGACCTCTCACACCCTGTCCAGAGACTCCGCACGATGTGCACCGTGCTATCGGCCAGAAGAGTCGTGTGTTTCCCTCACCATCGAACGATGGTGGAGAACGATCTGTTGCTGCCGGAGGTTATCTTCGATCCGGAGGTCATTACGGATGTCTCTCAAAGCACCCAAGATGCTCCCGATAGACTGGCGGAGATAGACATGGATGCCCCGGCCTGCGTCGTCTTCTCGTCTGGCTCAACTGGTATCCCAAAGGCCATCCAGCTCACGCACCGCGCGCTGTCCACTTCAGCGTATCACCTCTCCACCACGGGCCATCTCTCTCAATGCTCCCGTGTCTTCAACTTTTCCTCGTTTGCATTCGACCTCTCCATCGGCGAACTGTTGTTCTCACTTAGCGCGGGCGCGACTGTCTGTGTGCCGACCGAGGAAGAGAGACGAGCGAACCCGTCCAAAGCCGCTGGAGATTTGAGCGTGACGTGGGCTTTGCTGACACCCTCCGTGATCGGCCTGATTGACCCGGAAGAGGTGCCTACGCTGCAGGTTCTGGCGTCGGCGGGGGAGCAACTTACGTCGCAGATTGTGGAGAGATGGGCAGGGAGGGTGAAGTTGTTCAACATGTATGCGCCGGCCGAGTGTACCGTCATCTCGCACATTTCGCGCATTCTACCCGGCTCAGATACACCGCCGGCGTGTATCGGTCGGAGTCCCGGCGCCGTATCGTGGGTGGCGAGCCAGAACGATCACCACAAGCTTGTGCCGATTGGGACCATTGGCGAACTGCTCGTCGAAGGCCCCGTCGTGTCGTCAGGATACCTTGGAGACGCCGAGAAAACGGATGCTGTGTTTCTTTCTCCTTCGAATCCACCCTCATGGCTGACGCAGATCCGCGGCGAGGCTCAGGGCGGCAGGATTGGCAGGGTGTACAAGACGGGGGATCTGGTGAGGCAAAGAGAAGATGGCACTTTGTTGTTCCTCGGACGCAAGGATGACCAAATCAAGCTACACGGGCAGCGGCTAGAGGTTGAGGAAGTGGAACTCAGCATCACCTCGCTGTGTTCGAGTGTCCGCAAGGTGGCGGTAGATTGTGTCAAGATTGCCGAGAAAGGAAGAGGGCAGAGATCTTTTTTGGTGGCTTTTGTCGCGCCGAGCGAGTTTGAAGATTGGGGAGAAGTCGGAAAGGAGGGTGGACTGGAAGTGATCCAGGACCCCAACGACAACTTCTACAACACCATCGAGAGCCTAAACACCTCTCTCCAGGACACCCTTCCCTCATACATGATCCCCTCATATTTCCTTCCCTTTTTGAATATTCCCCTCAGCTTGTCCGGGAAGGTGAACCGCAGACTGTTACGGGAAGAATCGACAAATCTCCTCAGCAGCCAGGATCACAGGGAGAAGTACCAACTTCGCACGCGCACAGCACGCGAGCAAGCAGCAGACGGAGAGCAGGTTCCTCTCACGGAACATGAGACCCAAATCCTCCAAATAATCGCTCAGGTGTTGCATTTGGATGCGCAACAAGTGCCCATCAACGGCAACTTCTTTGGCATAGGCGGTGATTCTATCTCGGCCATGCGTGTGGCTGCGCTCGCTCGACGCAACGGACTTCGGCTGGGCGTCGTCGAGATCTTCAAGCACCAGATCCTATCACAAATCGCGGCTTCTTGCTGTCCAGAGTCAGACACAGACAGCACCACTCGAGACTTTTCGGAAAGCTCATCGACCACCGACGCCACGTCTCAAGATTCTTCTGAAAGCTTGTCGACCACCGACAGCAATAGCGAAAGGCCCCTGGAATGTCAACTACCGCCTGGTCTGCCACAGGAGGTTGCGCAGCAAGTGGAATTGGCTCTCCCTGCGACAGATTTCCAGACAATGACCATGTACAACTTTTACTCGCGCTATCTGTGGATTTCGCTTCCGGACACCATCGATACTGATAGGTTGCAGCAGGCGTGCCAGCTGTTGACGGAGAAGCATTCAATTCTGCGGACCGTGTTTTACACCACAACCACCACCGCCGCCACTGGCTCCGTCGTCCAGCTCGTCCTCCGCAGTGTTCTGGTGGACCTGAAGCATCACAAAGACATCGACTCATTGGACCAGCACTTCACCAGCGATTCGTTGTCTCACGGGCCCCCGGTCAACGGAGCCGAAGGATTCCAGGTGCAACTTCTCTCACTACGTGACGGGCAGAAGAGATACCTGGCACTGAGACTCCCGCACGCCCAATTCGACGGGTTGTCCCTCAACGTCCTCGTCGACGATCTGTCGGCCGCATATGATGATAACACAGGCCATTCTCTGGCTACCTGCGCGCAATTCTCAGACCAGGTCAAGTGCGTGACAGAAACAAAAACGACACCTGAAGCGTACCAAGTTTGGAAAGACATCCTTGACGATGCGGAGATGACCAGATTGGATGGCCAGATTTTGCGCCGCGGAGATAGCGTGGCGAGAACAGAGGAGGGTGGGGAGAGCGTTAAGGAAGAGTTGAGCGTCGTGACAGCCTTGACCGAGACAGCGCCGTTGGCGGCGCCAGCGAGTATCACGATGGCTACGTTGGTGAAGCTGGCCTGGGCTCTCACACTCTCAAGGCTCTTCTTGCCGGAACAACCCAACGGAAAGTGGCCGGGAGGCGGAAGGAGTGTGGTCTTCGGTCAAGTCATCCACGGCCGCTCACTCTCGCTCCCCTACGAAGACAGGATCGTGGGGCCGTGTCTGAATATCATCCCCGTCCGGGTTCTTCTACCACCCACCAAGACCAATCTAGACGACCCAGTGAGCACCCGGGTGCTTTTGGAGCAGATCCAATCGCAGCACATGGCCACGCTCCCGGTAGAGAACCTGTCCCTCTCGACCATTGCAAAACACTGTACCCACTGGGCACCGGGGACACATTTTGGGAGTTTTGTGAGGTTTCAGAATTTTGAGGATGATAACGGCATGCGATGTTATCTGAACGGAGAGAGCTGTGAGACCGGGCTGTGGAGTCTGCCCAATAAGCCTTCCAGGACGGCGAATGTGTTGATTATGCCGAAGAAAGCGGGGAATTTGCAAATTACGCTGACGGTAGGGAACATGGTGTTGGGCCAACAGGATGCGGATCGTGTTGTGGGATGCTTCAGAGAAGTTCTAGAGAGTCTCGCAGGAGGCGAAAAGGTCATTTGAGAAAGTTTCAATGTTTCGGCTAGGTTCATATTTGACAGTGGAATGGATTGTTTTATGTTGTAGTTATTGTTATGCCTTCAGTTAGAAAAGGTTTGCCTGTCAGACTTCACGTGTCACTTCACAAGAGCTTCATTATCCATGGATGGCGCCGATTACGCCCACACCATTTCACACACTACATTCTCACCAATACAACCTCTTCTCATGGAAAACACCTTAGAAGTCTCTTTCTCAGTGTGTTGTCTTGTGTGTATCTAGCGAAATATCTTGTGCTGCAATCTGCGTCTGAATCTGGCTATAACCCCTATCTTTACCTCTGAAGTTCAGTAATGCCGGTCGTAGTAGCCGGATCCCTCTCCGCTTTTAGGCGGAAAGGTGGGTGGACCCCTACGTCTGACAAGTGAATCAGCTATAAATTCAACACAAAAACCCTAACTTCGGAACTCCATCATCCAAACACCCAACTCTCCAGAAACAATCTTGACGATTTCCCAACAGACCAGCCAACATGGCGTTCCGCGTCGCTATCCTCGCAAATTTCGACCCGGAAGAGCCAGGTGGGAGCGAAATGTTATCCAGAATCACCACTCTCCTCCGCTGCTCCCGAACAGGTGCTACTGAGATCGCTGTCCACGCCGCCATCCGCGGCGATGCCTTCCCGGATCCGACCGAGTACGATCTAGTGATTCTGACAGGAGGACCATTCAATCTGTTGAAACACACCGAGGAGAGTGAGAGACCGGAGTGGGTGCGACGAACACTTGGCTGGATCCAAGAGACTGTGAAATCCCACGAAGCAAGTGGGCTCAGTGAGCCAGGTAGTAAGAAGAAGGCCAAATTACTGGGTATCTGCTGGGGTCATCAAGCCATTGCCTTGGCTCTTGGAGGGCGGTTGGGACGGGTGCCGCAGGAGAGAGGCGGGCAATTAATCGGTGTTGAGACCGTCCCTCTCACTTCTCAAGGCGCTGCTTTCTTCAAAACTGAGTCACTTGTATGGACCTACCCACCCAATACCCCCCAACCTTCCTACAAACCAATAGAAAAACTAACATGTGCTTCTATATATACTATAGGACATTCAAAAGAATCATGCGCTTGTTGTAACCCACCCCGGGCCATATCTTACACCTATCGCTTCTTGCTTATCCTCTTCTCAAAACGAGGTTCTCCTTTCCCACAGCCCTCCTATTCTCACCTTCCAAGGCCACCCAGAGATGGACGCCGCTCTTGCAAGACTATTTGCCGGATTTGCGACGGGGGGCGCGTCGGACCGTGCAAACTGGATTCCGTCGGAAGGGCTGAAGGGTATCGACGACGTACATGATGGGGAGGCGATCTTGAAAAGGGTAGCGGCGTGGGCAGGCGAGTAGAGGAAATAAGCGAGGATGAATTGGGGTCTGCTCGGCTATATTAGTCGACGAACTCGTTGGACGTATGGTCCGCCTTTCTGCCCAGAAGCGGTGAGGCCTTACGCATCGATGGTGATGAACAAGTAAGGTGTAAGTAATACACAGCCAGCAAAATCACTCAATGTATGACGTGGGATACAAAGATCTGCTCATCCAGAGTGAAAGCTCGTCAGCCATGTTATTAGCTGCGGCATTATGAGATGACAGTATGCCTGACCGGGGGTTGGAACCTCAGCTATTATGCTACGTCTTAGATATGTCATTTCCCAAGGCGATGCTATAACAGTCTTTTGCAAAATCAAATACGCTGGTCATTTAAAAGATGGCCTCTTAGCATAACGGCGAGTGGTCTTCAACTGCGCAAGGTTATCCTCACTTGCATACACCATGTGCAACAATCGCATCTCAATGGACGATGAGTGATGGTTCCCTGTCCTTGACGCCAGATCCTAGGTCACCGAGGAAGCCGAAAGGTAGCACTGGCGGATTCAATGCAGAAGGTCACATCTGCGTAAATAGGCTTGCCAACGCTAAACACTAGGAAGTGCACCAGCGGAATTTACTGAGTGTTCAGCTATGGGTGCCCGCTATTGAATATCAGCATAAGTAGCCTTGTTCATGAGATCGAGGTGTGTTTGCAACCATGATAAGAACTCTATGGGCACAACAAACAAGGAGATGAAAGGTATCCAAGTATGGTCGAAAGGTCACCCAAGATATGTTCCAGACATTGCCAGCGTATCAAAATCATGAGTCTGCGATCTTTATTCGCAGTTCTTTCTTCCCTTCTAACTTCGCTTCTTCGCAGTTTGCCGCAGTTCTCCAATGGCCAAAATTGAAAAACACACCATTCTGAACAACGTATCCTTTATCAACAGGCGTTTTGTCATTTTATCCACTTCTTCCCTGTTACTCTTCCTAATGTCACTTCACTTGTCGTTCTGAACAACAACACTGATGATCTTTTACTCGGGGGTGATGCGCGTGGATTCAGAGCATAACTGTTCTACATCTAGTACTCCAAGTGCTGTTTTAACGACAAGATAAACTCCATTGTCGTTGAAAGAGAATCCATGGACACCCTAAACTCGACCTGCAATCCCAAGGCAAGTACATGGATAGGGCGAATAAAACCACAGGCCTCAGAAAATGTAGAATAATAGAGAGCGCTTTTACCGCAAAAGTCTGTGGGAGTACTGCCCCACTACTGCGGGAGCTCAACCATCACAGCGGCAGATGTGGTAGTGCCCGCGATGGTGAAGGCTCGGCGAACAAGATTGACTGCAATGAAGCTAAAGATTAGCAATACGGAATCGACAACATGAGCTGCAGCTAATCTCCTTTTGGGCATTGGTGACTTACCCCTCCGACCACTGATAGTCTCAAGATTTCAAAAGGGTTTGTTGTAGCTGTTACATGTACCCTGGACGATCGTGCCCGACGAGCCCGGGATGGAATGGGGTAGGTGCATGATCTGCTGGACGGGACATGTAGCGAGGTACCCGTTGGGGTCTCAGCTGCCAATAACCTGGTTTTGAGGGGTACTTTAGCGCAGGAATTTCGAGTGGCTTTCGCAACGTTGAACTGACCCACGCCTGTGTAACTGGGGTAAGCAGGCACCTGGCCTTGGGGTAGTCGAAACACGTATCCTTCCAACTGATCACGGTTTCCTATCTGGTGTGCCGGAGATCCATGACGTTCAATTCTAGTTCTGTGAGCAACCCAAAGGTTCAACACAGCAATAAGCAAGCTTAATAGCCCAAAGAAAATTGCGAAGGCGAGGCTGATGGTTTCTAATGATGAGGACATCGGAGCAACTGATGAGGCGCTGACAAGGTTATTGGACGTTATGGTGTAAGGCATTTACCCGAAAGCTGGCCCGTCCACCATGTCTGTGAGTGCTGGGAATTTTTCGCGCTGTTAAGCTTTTGTCTCGAGGGTCGTCGAGGTTGCTTAGAGCATCATTTGGCGAAATGCGAACCTAGCCACCAACTGAGGCACATGTGGGGCCGGAGAAGCCTGAAATGGCGCTGCTCTGCACTGCAGATGATGGCAAGTCGTGGCCCCAATCGTGGCTCCTCATTTTCGCCACCCGCATGGTGGTGTCCTTGGACGACAGCGACCTGGCCAATCGTTCAGCTAACAGGCTTAGCGTCATGCAACTGCTGGTTGCCTTGTTTGTGCAGCAAATTTCGCATTGGCTGGGTGCTGTTTGATATATGGACCCGTCTGACCAAAGTGGAATATCAAACTCAGCTGCTCCGCCCGGAGAATGTCAGAGTCCCCAAGGCTCACCAGCAGTAGATCGGAAGTTCAAAACTCAATCGTTCTTCGTATCTCTTGAATAAAAAGACACCGAAAGAATCACAAGCCCCATAACTGCCAAAGCTGTCAGAAGGTGGACTAGACACAAACATGAGTATTACGATACTAAGGTACATAGAAAGAGAGCCCATACTTCATTGTTGAATTTACTCGGGTGCCAGCTTTTCCTTGTTAGAAAATGTTTGGTGAGTGGGTCTCTGCTTGCAGTTGAGCAGGCCATAGCCTGCAGAAAGGTGAATTTTCTAAGAAGCTGATCGATGGATACCAGTTCAACGTCAATCTTGACGCATATGAATATGGGGAAACGACGTCGATAATACAATACAACGTATCATTCATCACTGCACTGTCTCTAACCTTTACTGCCATAGCAAGACTACCGCTCGAGCAAGTGTTCCCATACGTGCCTTTTACGGAAGGTAGGTGAATAAGTACAACTTCGAAGACTTAGGCCGTCGTCAGTATTGCTAAGAACTTTTGTTGCTAGTATGTGTACGCTGGTTAAAGATGGTTAATAACGGCTTGCACCTATACCCATCGATCATACTCGGACTCCACGCCGGGTTGAGACTCTCTGTGCAACTATCTCTTCAGTCTGAGTGGTACTGAACGCACGAGCTTCCTTTCAGAGCTCTCCTCTTGTTCAAAGTGTCCCCGAAGATGCAGTTGATTGTTCGTTCCTTTGATTCCGGGGAACTCTATTTCCGATCTGCCGCATTTCTTTCACACGTCATCATTTTGTTTCTCTCGGCGACATCAGACTTGATCGGTCGGCCCAGAGAGGTATTTTGGCTTACCTTGTATCAAAAGGTTATCCTGTGTTGTGATATTGGCGCTCAAAGTTTCTGAAAGATGCCAGGAGTCCATTTCGAGCCGCCCCAAAGGTGAGGTTCGCAGGAGATCGACTTTTCGTATGCTAATCTGCATGAAGTCAATCCTTGCACAGATCCCACATCTGTTACTGATATTTTCCGTTTCACTGTTGGATACTCTCCTATTCGCGGATCTGTTTAAGCAGGTGGGTATGTGGCCCCAACGCTGATACGGTATCGACATTCTGCTTGCCCTTTTCATTGGAGTTGCTTGTTTCAAACATTTAATTGTTTGTGAGTGTACAGATACCCATCATCGGCGCCATATTGCCAAAGCTCTACGGGTGCTAACGTCATGAAGTCCCTATCACGGTACTGTGCTCCATGGTATCAGGCTACGCCATTCTCTTCGACAAGCTTTGGGATGTCCAGGACAACCTTCAAACTATGATCTATGTCCTCACAAGACTAGGTTATTTCATCTCTCCACGTACGTATCGCACTTTCTAGACCGACAAAATGAACGTTCCTGAATGCGAAGAAAGCCGTCTTGACAGGAATTATGTCCCAGCGGGCATCTTGGTCACATACAGTCTGCGCTGTCTCCACGTCCATGGCGGGTTCTTCTATCGGTATCATAGTAAGATACTACTTTACACCGAATGATCAGGAATTTGAACGGAGATCACACCTTTCTCTGTTGTGTTGCTTCAGACTATATTGTGGGGATTGCTTTGGAAATTGGGGTGGGTGCGAAGACGGAGACAAGGGGAGACAAGAGATGTTGAGGTGGTAAGCTCATAGTCAAGAATCAAGCATAGAAAGTAGCAGTATGGAATTTTACCTTAGGAAGCCTGATATGCAGTCCACTAACCCGACTATCTATAGTTCAGCTAGTATTATCCTTCAATTCCACAAAGTAAGGCGGCCTAGCACAATTCTTGCATCAGACCTTGGCCAGAGGTACCAGCTGCGGGACTCATTTGGTATCGTCCATCGATACGAACACCAACTAGCGTATGTCGGGTTTTACTCGGGTTCGAGGCAGACATGCTGCATAGCCATCCATTAACGGTGTTCGAGGCCGCAGTTACACTAAGCCATTCTCCATGATGTCCTCTACCCGCCTTCGGTGTCTAATCCACTCACAGATACACTACCTTATACACTCCGTTGCGGGCCAGCGGCCGGCAGGTTTCTCGCGCGACCGACGCATAGATGTAAGTCTTTCTGGACTAGCGTGCTGTAAATTTCTCGCGCGACCTACGCACAGGTCAAGTTTTTCTGGACTAGCGTGGTCCTGAGACATGACGGGACAATATTTAATTGAGGCATGGTCTCTTCGCAGAACACTACTCTACTGCTCTCCAGAAGATTCACGAGATCTGTCATTACGCCTCTTTTGTTTTCAATGATTGCTCTCCTGTCCTGAGCTTAACCGCACCATTGTATATCATTTCGTATGGGTCAATCAATCTCGACGTCATTGATACCGAGACATTGTTATTTCACACCATTTAAACATTTCGGCCACAGCCAACATGTCGTCCTCCCCAGCAGAGACATTGAGTCTTACGTTTACAGCCAGTTTTGGCGTCTTAGGTCTACTAGTGGCCCTGTTAAACCTATGGGTTGCTCACAAAACACGCGTCGAGCGTCTCGTGAGGTTTAACGCAGCTGAGGATGTCGAGAATCCCTACCGCTTCAGTCACTCCCAAATCGACCTGCCGATGTCCCAGGGTTGGGTGAAGCCTGGTCAGCCTTGCACCCTTCCTTTCATCTTCACCTCAAGCTCACTGCTAACCTGGACTATTGTGCTGTTCCAGATGGACGAACAACGGAAGATCACATGTCTTCACATTACAGCTTTCGTCAAACCCTGCATACGTCTTTCCATGTCCCTTGCCCATTGGGTACTCTTCGCCCGTATGGCCACTCTAACGACGCGTTAAGGACTACCTCGTCTTAAAACGGATTTACATCTCAATCCTCAATTTCATTAGGCTGGAACGCAAGTCAACATCTGTACAGTAAAGAGCTGCGTTGTAACCAAGCCGTATGCTAGCGCTGGCTACATTTGTCTGTGGCGTTTATCATATCAAGCCATTGATGAGAAGCAGTAGACAAAACCTTGGCAGCTACCACAAGTGTCATTGCGCGTTGGAAATACTGACGCACCGCTAATCGCTATCATCATGATCCTCCATTTTGCCGTCTCTCATTCATTGTCATGACCGCTGCTGGATTGCGTATAATATCGGTTATATATCTCTCTCATGTTGACCAAGTCCACCCATGCCCTTCATCTGCTAGATCCTGACGTGTGAAATGCACTAGATTGAACGAAGAGAGTAATGAAGACAAACCTTATGATGCTGCAACTTCAATATGCAACAACTTAAACAATCGCTCAATGCCGCGTGCTCGTACGCCTTCAAACATGATTTGATTACAACCAACCCCGTGCATGACAACATTCAAAACCAAAAGAGTAGAACGGCATTGTGGTTCGTAATCATCGAAACAATCAAATTCGACATATATTCTTAAATTCATTCCAACTCACGTTCAATCAGACTCTCAACGCCATTACCTACGTCGTGGATCTTCACCATTACCAAACCGGCCTTCTCCAGCAACACTTTCCACTCAATACGAGTCCTTTCCTTGTTACTAACAAGCGTCAGCATCATGATATCTTGCCCAGTATTCTGCCAATTTGCATTGATATCTGGAATGCAATTTTCGTTGACCAGCAACTTTCTGCAGCCATGTTTCATAGCAGCTGTTGTCCTCGCCAAGATTTCTTCACATTTGACGTCGGGCCAGTCGTGAAGCACGGAGTGCATGTAATAAGCCCGTGCGTCTGATATATTAAGTCAGTGAATCTCTTAGATGTTGCAGCAATGCGAGAGTGATCACGAACCCTTGATTGGTTGGTCATCGAAGAAGTCATATCCCATTCTCTCGATTCTTTCATTTAACTTGTCAATCTGGCCAATGACACTTGGCAGGTCTTGCACTACCGATCGACCAGGGGCATTGGGATGTTTCCTTCTGAACTCATCAATGTCATGACCAAAGCTGCCTCCAACATCCACAAGGAGAACTGCATTCTCGGAGCTGTCGAAACCATCAAGAAGGCGCTCCTTGACAGGATAAAACCCCTCGTCCATCCAGCTCGGCCTGCCTTGTCTATACGCGCCCATGTGTTGTGCGAACTGCATGTCGTATGGCGGATTGGCAGCAAAGTGGCTGAAACAGTCGAGCTTCGAGTTGTAACCCTACTGCAGGGGGCTGTTGCAAATGTCGTGAGGCTCGCGGTAGTCGTTCTTCTTGGCGAACTCGTGAAACTTTGCGAGAGCTTCCATACAAGCACCAGCACTGGGCATAGGTTGCATAATTAGTAAAACGGAGATGCCCTGAAAGCTTCGGATTAGACTCACACGCAGGGATAGCCAGCTCCCATACTTGTGATTGTCAAGGCATTGGAGAAGTTCGTGGGCTTGCATTCATCCGGTCCGGTTTCGATTATGTACTGCATCGCTCCTAAATGCCGCATGATCCTACCTATTATGAGCAATAGGTGCTATGAACAGGAGCTGCTCGCATCATGCGCAGTCGAGGAAACCGGCCACAAAGTCGGTTTTAATGACGGCGAAGCTCCAATCACACACGAGCCGAGTAGCCAAGGTCCCAACCTGAATGGTAGTCAAGCGCAACCGGCGGCTGGTAGTCTCCTAGGCTCGGGAGAGGGACCGCCATGACCCAACCACGGGGAGGGTCTGAACAAGACCCCTTATCCTCCCTGCCAGGACAAAGTCTCATGATCTTCTGTCATTTGGGCTGGACAGACCTTAAGATGCTGCACTCAAAAAGGCAGGTCGTGGAAGCTTGATTTCCATCGGGATGTGGCGGGAGAGGATAGTAGGCCGTATGGCAACTGCAGGTTGCTTTTGAGATGCCCAATACTTCTGGCTGCTGCTCATTCGGTGCTCGTGTTGGTTCTTGTTCCGACGCGATCCTATGCGTTCATTGTCAATTGCACCTATTCTGTGGAGTACGTTGAGGACCCGATCCTACCCTCAGGGGCCAGACATGTGCTCGACAAGGGATCTCAATATTCCTGCTTAGGATGGGCTGATGTTCATGTTGTTGGTTCAAGAATAATTGCAAGCAGTCCAACAATTGGACGCAAACGCTCTCAAAGTGGAAACTATCCAGGATCCCGGAACGCCTTCCGGTGGAGCTTGCGGATCACGATCCCCGCGGTTGCGGCCGCTGGCCCGAACATTACCAGCATTGTGCGTTCTTGATGGGGAAATCTTCACGATCATGCATGGGTATTTATCTGTTGGTTCAAGTCGTTCCACATCCAGGCCATCAAATCTGCTCACCGGAATCCACACTCAGAAGTGCTTCGGGGCTAATGTACGCTTCAGGTCGAAGGATGGGTTACTGGCGTCTGCTTACTCTGCCACTCCTCCCTGATCGAGATTTTTGGATATTTGGCCAGATTCTCTGCCGGACTGTTGAAGGTATCTCCCTCATGGCCAGGGGAGTTGGCTGATAGCAGGCTTGCGTCGGAACGTGCACCTTGCTCGTAGGTGTGTCGGCATCGCACCAACAGCGGCGGAAAACTGAGTCTCTTCAGTCCTCGCGCGATGGTCCAACTTCCTTTTGCGGTAACATTATCGGAATTCGTGTAGAAGTTTACGTGCGTCGCAGCAACCTCGAAGGACACTTGCGAGAGCTTTCCCTCCCTCATCATGTGTCTCGTTTTCTTCTGCAATCGCGGTCGTGAACATGGCTGACACGTCACTAACAAGTCAGTCATCCGCCGAATCTAAAGGCACAAGCATAATCGTGACCATCTGCATCATTGTCGGCATCAGCACTCTTTTCGTCCTCGGTCGATTGTTTGTGAGAATGAAGATTCTTGGAAAAGCTCATCTAGATGACCACTTGACGGCCCTATCACTGGTAAGAGGGCTCAGGTACCCAGTAACATGGAACCCTCAGACTAATAATATCCCTCCTCTAGCTGCTCAGCTATCTCACAGTCGGACTCGAGATATGAGCCGTTCAAAGCGGTAATGGTCGCCACGTCAGTACGCTTTCCATGGAACAACAGTCCGCCGCTGTCTTGTCGACGATTTCCGGCTTCCCACCGAATGTTCTCGCATATACAGTGCCCAAATTTGCGGTGGTAGCGCTGCTGGTCAGGATACTTAACCCGGGAAAGATCCATCGTATTGTCTTGTGGTCGCTGGCAATAATCTCTCTGGTCCTTGTCCTGTTGTGTATCATCATATTATTCGCCCAATGCACACCATCACGAGCGCAATGGGACTTGACGATAACAGACAAGAGCTGCTGGAGCCCCTGGGTCCTGATTAACGTTGCTATTTTGACTGGTGGTAAGTCATTTCTGGTCCATCTCGCAGATACTGAACTGGATCGAAATCTAACATTCCTGCAGCATATTCGGCCGCACTTGACTTGTACTTGGCAGTGTACCCCGCGACTGTTCTGATGAGGCTTCAGATACATATCAAAAAGAAGGTTATTCTTAGTATTGCACTTGGCATCGGATCAATGTGGGTACTCATAATCCAGGCTGCCCTTTGCTTCTAGACACTATTTCGTACACAACAGTTCCTGCTTTATCTCGATCTACAAGAGCACACGGCTTCCATCTCTTGCCAGCAAAGACTTCACCTGTGAGTCAATCTCGAATCGCAGATGACACCGTACTCACTTATCTTAACTAGATGATAGTGCGGATCTTGTGGTCTGGACAGTGTATGTAAAATGATGCTTTGAAACACTATGATGGAGAAGCTAATGTAAAGGCAGAGTCGAGGGTAACACTCTCATCATCGCTTCGTGCATTCCTGTCCTCGGCCCCCTCGTGGAGCTGGCCTTGGGCCGTCGCGTCCTAAGCTCGAACGACCGGAAATATCAGAAACAGAGCGCACACGTGGCCTTCGATCGGGTGGAATTGAGATGGACGGCTCTAGACCCTTGAACCGGAATGGTAATGCTGTCGGCAAGAGCTCAACTGTCATTCAGTCACGGCATGACCGAGATAACGCTAGTAGCCAGGAACGTATTCTCGTTGGAACCGCTAAGTCGGCTCACAGACCACGCGGCATTATGGGGACGGACGATGTTACGGTATCTTTCGACTCCCGAAGTGTAGCGGATGGGAGAAAGAAGGAAGGTGATGGGCCGAAATGGGATGCCTTCCAGTCACGAGACTAATCAACTGCTTGGGTAGATACGGGCGACGGCGGCTTAGGCAGATTGGGCCCATGCCGAACATTGTTTGCAGCAATCATATGACTTCGTTGCATCGTACTTTCTGTCTTGTCTTATATGGTGGCTCAAAAACAGCTGTCAAAGTACTCCCTGACTTGAGGTGGCAGCTCTCGGTAGTTCTCAAGCTTTCCGTCTACAATCAAGTCTTTCAATGTCGCCTTCCTGTAGTCTTCAACTTCCCATAGATCCGTTCCGAGCATCTGCGCCTGCTGGCCTGTGCCCCATATCTTGCGACAGTACCACGACAGGGTGAACAGACTACCTAAAGCAAGCCCATCTTCAATCTCTCGGTTGATCTTCTCCAGGCTGTGGTTCGATACTTGAGGTGGGTTTCCGTTCCTCTCCTTCAGCGCATTAGCAACGTCTTCTCCTGTTGGTGATAGTTCTGTCAAAGCTATGGCACGATTTTGAATTTGAGCAATTGGCGTCTTGGTGAAGATAGAGACGTATGCCGCCGCCACAAAGTCTCTTGTGCTGCACACCAGAAGCTGTTAGTCTCAAGTCATTTAACAACGGCACGGAGCAGCTCCAGACTTACCACAAGTAAACTTTAGTCTCAGCGCTGTTGGCGGAATTGATGAGTCGATTCCCTGATATGTCGACACCCATGCAACTAGAAGCAAAGGAAATCAGTACATGACTCAGTTGAACGGCTTATCGCACTCACAGGGTGTTCAGCGCAAACTCTGCAAAGTTTCCGACAAGGACAACCGTGATTGGAATGCCTGCGGCCTTTGCCGCCTTCTCAACGTCGTCCTTGTTTTTGTTGACTGCGATACGCATACCCTGCTCATCGTAGCGGGCGGCCAATTTCGATGGCGAGAACAGCTGCACATTGGTCTTGGGAATGGCCTTAACGAAGCCCTGCTGGTCCTGAATCCCCTCATGACCAACAAGTGAGCTAACGAGAACGTTTGTCAGTGTTGTCTAGTATGCCGGCTGTGTCATGAATCTTACATGACGATGTCTATGTCTTTGAGGGCCCCGACTAGACGTTCCTCATCGTTGACATCTACCTCAACCTTCTCGACATCATCCGGAAGGCTGGACACATCTGAGCCAGGACGGGTAAGTACCCTGACTGGCGCGCCGGAGGCGATCAAAGCCTTCGCGATTCGAGAGCTTCCCCAGCCACGGTGGCCATAAACAGCGATTCGGTTGAAAGATGACATGGTCAGCTAAGATGTGGCTTCGGGCGCAAAATTGACACGGAACATGAGACGAGGGAAACATCCTTTGGTTTATGTAGTCCGTGGCTAAAACGGTGACTAAGACATATATGCAGCCTCCTGCCACTTTGCATCATATGTCCGGGACCAAAATATTTGATAGCTTACGAAGAAATTCATCGGACTCAAGATATTAATGCAATCATCGACTGGGTCACTAGCCACTTTTCATCTTCGTTCCCGGGTAGTCGCTCACCGCCCCACTTCCACAGTCAAATGCCAACGTCGAGTGGCTTGCGGATCGCATGTTTTGGGGTAGTAACTGATCTTGATGTACGATCGTGGTGGAGATTTGGTACTGGTGAGCATTTTGTGCGTTGAATTCTAGCGTCGATGATAAATCGATGTTGAGTGACCACTGATTGCGGTAATGTTTTGCTTCCGAAACGATACCCACACAATGCTTCGGAAGCCGGGCATGGAGTGGCGCTGGAAGAGCGCCTTAGGGCGTAACGAGTCAGTCCATCTGGAAGTCAATGGAGGGCACAGTGTCTGTTGGGGTCTTTAGCCTGTTCTTGTACCACGCAACGTCAGTCCTCAGCGATAACTCCGAAGATTTGTTCACTGCCGTAAAACTGACCGAGCACCGAAGCCCGGATCCTCGCCGGTACACAGCCCCACATCTCGTTCAATCCCTAGGTAGACACACGTGTCGGCCTCGGCGCTTATAGTTCTCCGGGTCTCATCCCTTTGACGCCGAGATGTGATTTTTAGCGCGGTTTTCTTCTCTAGTTTTCCTCAGTTTCTTGCGCAAGTAAGCAAACGACTCTTCGCAGTATTCGATTTACTCTAAACCTGCATTCTGAGGAAATTTGATTGGACACCAGAAACTGCGCTAAAAACACATCTTGGCGTCAAAAGGATGAAGCATCAAACCGACTTCCAGCGACTGGTTCGATGAAAAACCTATGGCAGCAGGACGTTAGGGCCGATGCCTCTGAGGTGCAGACGAAGTAAGTGAGTTGTATGGTTGTGATAAGTGATTAGGAAA